GTTAAACAAATCCCGTAGCTGCCTCTGGGGCCAATCTTGGGTGCTGTATCTGCCAGCTGCTAACCTAAGATGGGAAGTCTGTCTTGAAAAACTGAAAAGGGAATTTTTATAAAAGAAATGCTCTTTTCTGACTTAAAAAAGAAATACTCTTTCACGACCAAAATGTTGTGCTTTTTCCTTAAAGTTGTGCCTTTTCTTTCAGCTGCTGTGTGGCTTTACATGGTACTTACCTCAGTGAAGAACAGATGGACCCTAAGTTAAAGGACAGGACCTACTAAAGTCATTGATTTCCCAAACAGAAACCATGAGAGACATTGAAAGGAAAGCCAGCAAGGGGTCAGATGGCAGAGCTAGTGCAGAAGTACCCAGAGAGCTGCGGCAGGCCACCTAGACCAGAGTCAGACACCCAAATGCTGCAGCAGGCCACGTAGACCAGAGTCAGACACCTGGAGAGCTGCAGCAGGCCACCTAGACCAGAGTCAGATTCAGCCCCCTCTTCAGCACCCACGCTCTTACCGACGTTATCCATCGAGACCGTCACAGATTCTCCACGCATGGGGAAGAGGGTCAAGGTGTCCTCGTGCCTCTTTCCGTAGATAAATGAGTGCCCAGTGAAGTGAATAGTCAGAATGTCATCCTGTGTCCCCACACTGCAGAAGTGCCACTGGACAGTGTCATCGAAGCAGAACTTTAAGGGGGTGATGCTGTCGGGTATGTAGCCATTGATAGCTGAAAGAGCGAAATCCGTTAACGTGCCAGGCCCGTGCCAACGAAGGGCCGTGTCTCTAATCACACCTCAGGTAAGTGTTGTATCAAAGCAGCAATTATCCACAAAGGCTTTATCAGGGCTGACGTGACCAGCAGGTCAGACTTGGAATTCCCAATGGAGAGCTTATTCTCTTAAATTAGCCGAGGGAGAAACGTTGGGATAAAGATAAAGCCTTTTGTTCCTATATTAAATATACATGCTCTGCCCGAAAAGATATTCTGAAGACAGGGCCAGCAGGCAGCATGGTACTTAAGGTTCTGGACACCCACCTGGCCAACCACTGTTCAAGTTCCAGACCTCGTAGCTTGAAGATCACACCAGTCACATGTTCATGCTTGAAGATCACACCAGTCACATGTGCATGCATGCCCAAAGTCCTGAGAGGAGGATGTCAGAGAAGGGACTGCAGCATGGCCATGCCCCTGGGGAGTGATTTCCCACTTTCCCTCTCTCTGTCTCCCTCTGATGAGTACACATGCCCTATGACAAAAACCTTAAAAAAATTATATTCTGAAAAGCAACTTAGAGTATTATCCAGAATAATTCTAATAATTCTTTTCTGGAAGAAAAGCATAGTATAAAACCCACCTTCTTACTATGTTAGTTACTGAGCAAGGAGTGAATCCCTAATTGTGAAGCACACTGCAGTCTTCATTGCCCCCTCTTATCTATATAATCTACAGTTTTCAATCAAGTATGGAAATCACACTTTATTTTTTGAGGGGTGAGGTTTTTGCTATAGGGCACGTGTGTTCACCTGAAAGAGAGACAGAGAGACAGAAAGCAAGAAATCACCCCCCCCGGGGGGGGAGGGATGGCCACACTGCAATCCCTTCTTCTGCATTTTTCTTTCAGGATCTTGGGCACGTACGCACACATGCCTGGCCACCAGGACTCACAGTCAACTATGTGGGAGTCCAGTGACTAACCATAAGGCCATCTGCTGGTCCTGGAAGTCATACATTTTTTTTTTTTATTTTTAAAAGCAACACTGCTTGGGAACCAGCAGTTAGCATAATGGCTATGTCTTTGGATTCCCACATAGTCGATCGTGGTTTGCGTCCCAGACCTGGTGGCCTGTGCGTGCGTGCCCAAGATCCCGAGAGGAGAATGGAGGAGAAGGGATTACGGCGTGGCCATCCCCCCGGGGGATGATTTCTCGCTTTCTGCCTCTATGTCTCTCTCTGTCTGTCTGGCAAGCGCACGCGCCCTCTAGCAAAACAAACAAAAAAAAACTCTCAAAAAAAAAAAAAGAAAGAAAGAAAGCAACACTGCTTTAGGAAGTATATTGATTAACTTTTGTAGCAAGAATGGCAACAAAGCCAAAGTCAAAGCTGTGATCTCCATGGGGCCGGGCTGCTCTTCTGCTGGAATAACCACTGTAGCACTAGTTCCAGGACCGTACCTGGCACTTAACGAATATTTACGTGGGTACTTAACAGGTATTTGTTGAATTAATTGAAATACTGTGTTCTCAGTCTGTACCTCATTCTAGATGCTTCTCTAAATGGTCTATAGCTGCAGTGTTACTATGGTAGCTACCAGTTTAAGTGTCTGGCTATTGAGTAGTGAAGTGGGTAGACCAGATGGAGATGTGCTGCAAGTGTAAAATATACCAGATTTCAAAGATTTAGTAAGAAAGAAAGAAAATATTAATTTTTTGTACTAATTATGTGCTGAAATGATAACATTTAGGATACACTGGTTCAATAAAACAATTAAACTTAATTTCATCTGTTTGCCTTTAATTTTTCATGTGACTACTAGAAAATTTTAAATTACATTTGTGGCTTAGGTGAAAGTTTGACCAAACAGCACTGGACTATGATGACTCACTGTTGAAATAAAAGTATGCGAAGAAGGTTGGAAATCGCTGCTGGGAGTCATCTGTCACAGCACTGTGCATGATCACAGTCCCCGCTCAGCCATCGGAAGCTGTCTGAACAGACTGGGAGAACTCATTGTCTCTAATGGCACATCAGAGAAGGGGTCACATGTGCTTCCAGCTGGCTCAGTGGGCTTTCTCCCAGTCTCCCATGGCAGCAGCTGTGAGCACTGCACTTCGGAGCTGCAGCAAATGCCCAAACACGGCTCAGGGGGGTCCTCATCCCGAACTTGCTACTGCTCACCTCAAACTCTTCATGCATTGCCTGTCTGAAACTCTCAGGAGGTCCCTATACTGGTCTTGCTTTACTTTGCTTTGACAATCCATTTTCAGATTGCTTACCTTGTTTCCGCTCTCGCCATAAACAATAGTCACCCAGCACCCAGAAAGTCCCCGGTTACCAAGGCTTGCAGTGCCTTGCCTTGCCCCATCCCCTCACCCTGGTGCCCGCTGCCCAGAGCTCTGTGCACATGTTTGCGCTCTCTCTCTCTCTCTCTCACACACACACACACACGCACACACACACACACAGTTAGGAGCAGGACACTAAGCAGACTTCCAAGGATAGCAAGCCCCTGAGCTCTTTCAGAGTTGCTATGGCGTGAGTCCATCAGCCCTGGGCTGGAAGTGAGGTAAGAGGCTCTCTTTATTGAGTGGGTTCTGGTCCCTGTCTCTGCCTCTAGGTTCTGTCATGTGGCAACCCCAAGCGTGAAAGACCGATGAACGAGAATGTGTGACTTACTGCTCATGATGTTTGATTCATAAAACTTGGGGTCGTCGCGTTTCACCTCCTCAGGATTTTCACAGAACTTGTTGATGTTGTCCTCGAGGTACCAGCTCTTGTTCTCATCAAACACGGCAAACACGGCCTGCTGCTCTGTGTCTGCGGCCCTCTGGAGGGTGACAGTGCTGTGTTTAGTGATCAGTATTCCAGCCCATCACCTACAACACTCAGTTCTTCCCAGAAACCTAAGGGGCACAGTCTCTGGGGCCTCCGAAGTCTCCCAATTCAGGTATCCATGAAAGACCTACAGAGTTCTTGTTAGAACTAAAGATAAGAAGCAGAAGCCAACAGAGCAGGTGAGAAAATTCAGAGACTAAAATATCCTGATAGAAAAATCCCATTTCACCAGGGCAACCAAAGGTCTGTTTATCTCTGTAGCTGAGTACTTCTGAACATGATGATTCTGAATGTGTTCCAAAGGATTGCAAAGGATAAAACAGGAGGATGTGGCAGGCAAGCTTCCTCTCTCTCCTCACCTTTTCCTTCCCCCTAAGTAAACCAGGCCCTGCCAGGTCTCTGTATCTGATTTTTCTAGACATACATCTATTTTGTATGCCTTGGGATGGAGATCCCACTTTGATTGTTACTTATCCTAGTTGGGAATTTTAGGTGAATATTATCAGACCGTGAGTCTTTAATGAAGATGAACTCGGAACATCAGGATGTTCATGCACGTTCTTCCGAATAAGTTAGTCTCAGCAGAGATTGACCATTTCCGGGTTTGCCTTTTCTAGAAACTATCTCCAAGTTTATCTGCTTTCAGGGAATCTCTCTCACCTTTCATTATTACAACCCTCTAAAAATAACTAAAGTCAGAGCTTCGTGCTTTTGTCAGATGTTTCACCAACCCCTCACACGACCTTGTAAGAGTTTTGGGAGTCTTACTCATTTGGTAAAAGGAAGAAATTTAAGAGAAGCCAAGTGACTTGCTCATCACACACTAGTAACAAGAGACTAGAAACGTGAATGTAAACAAAGTGATTACATAATTTCACACTGCAGACTTGCTTTCTGCGGTGAGGGTGCAGATGAAAACCAACAAAACAAAAAGTAACCAGAGCAGTAAGTGTTCTCACAAATGCTAGAGGACTACTTGATATTTACATCCATACAAGGAAAGTCCCATTATTTAGCAAGGACATCTAATCTCTAGCCAGAAGAAATTCCAGAATTTCTAAAAGGATCCTTTGAGGACAAAATACCTGTATGCCTCGCTTGTCCAAGGACCTGCTCTTACAAATCAGAAGTAACCCTATCAGCCCAGAGGCTATATCCCTCATGATGTCCACGTCACTGTAGTATGGCCTTGTCAAGCACTGGGCATCATACTCCGTGGGCTCATCAAATTCCAGGATGTTCCACTTGTACGTATAGGTTTCTCCTGGTTGAACTGCTCTGATCATGCTAGTGCTGCCTGAAAAAAAAAATCCATGATTGTTTTCATGTGGATAATGATTACCAGATTGTAATACATAAACACAAACATTCATACATACGTAAATAACAAGCAAGCTCTCACTAGAACTAATTAATGTCAGAAAAGGCCTGGACAGCTACTAGCCATTAGTTGCTGCTCCACTAGAGTCTTACAAATCAGAAGTAACCCTATCAGCCCAGAGGCTATATCCCTCATGATGTCCACGTCACTGTAGTATGGCCTTGTCAAGCACTGGGCATCATACTCCGTGGGCTCATCAAATTCCAGGATGTTCCACTTGTACGTATAGGTTTCTCCTGGTTGAACTGCTCTGATCATGCTAGTGCTGCCTGAAAAAAAATCCATGATTGTTTTCATGTGGATAATGATTACCAGATTGTAATACATAAACACAAACATTCATACATACGTAAATAACAAGCAAGCTCTCACTAGAACTAATTAATGTCAGAAAAGGCCTGGACAGCTACTAGCCATTAGTTGCTGCTCCACTAGAGGCAAAGGAAAGGACTCCACAGTTTCTAGCCCCTGACGGACAAAGTCCCTGGAGGGAGACGGATGTGGCCCTGGTTTCTAGGCTTCCTGGCCATGTTCCTTTCCTGACGTGCACTAGTTACACCAGCAGACGGGGGAGATCCGAACCTGCAGCGGAGAAGGAGCTGTTGGCTTCGTCCTCGTGCGGGGAGAAGGTCACTCCGTGGGGATAAATGCTGTAGGGGCGGCTGGCCATGTTTCTGAACACGATCTACAAAGTCAAGGCAGTGGTGGTTGGAGGACGGAGGGCTGACCGAGCACGTTCACTTTCCCCTTCCAGAGGGGGCTTGTGTGCACACGGTGGAAGAATTGTTTCTTTTTCTCTAAGCAGCAACCTGTCCATCACCTGGCAGGAATATTTGAGGGACTGACCTTACGGGACAGGTTAGGAGGAGCGACATCATCCTCACGCTATCACCCTCTCCACGCCCCCCTCCTTCCTGTCCTTTCACTTGACTACATCTCACTCCATCTCCTTTCTGATCTCCTGCATCTCCTCCAGCCCTGCCAGTTAAGCCTTCTTCCTCAAGGGCACAAATACCTGACCCTGAATTCCCAATAACAGATGTTTACGCTTGCTAGGAGCACCTGCGAAGGTCAGAAGTGGGGCAAGGGGAGGGGGAGCAGAGAGAGACTGCCTAGCACCTTTGTCCTGTTGTTTTCCAACGAACGCAGTAGGCCGTGTCAGGGGCATCATTCGTAAGGACCCCCAGCTGGGCTCTTTAATCTTCAGAAGTGACCCTTAATATTATCTTCTACTTGGCTGGCGGTCAAGGCATTTGGATTACCCTTAATCTGTACATTATCTGCACTCCAGGACCTCGCCGGGGTTTCAACCTTCATTTCTCTGCTGCCCAGTCCTCTGTCTGGATGGTGTGATATAATGTTTAATGTGATCACCTGAGGAAACCACTGTGATACGTATTTAAATTCACCTTCATCAGAGACCAGAGAGGGCGTACCTAGACCACATTAAAGAAACATTTCTACTCAATTGCGTACCAATTTCTGTGTGACATCTCTTATCATCGCAGTTACAATAGTAAACATTCTTTTGAAAAGCTATGCACTGGAGGAGGCGAGACGGCCATTAGAAGCACTGTGGCAGCTCTGTCACAAGAAAGGCCAATAAGTTTCAACAAATGCCTTTACTTCAGCAGGGGAGAGGAGAGACTGACAACACAGAGAAAAGGCCATCGGAGCTTCTGGAGCACAGACTCTACCTGGAGAAGTAGAGGAAGACTCTCCTGCACTCAGTGGGGCTCCTCAGCCCTCCCCACAAGGGACACGGGGAGGTGAGAGGCCTCTCCACCAGAACCCCAAGTCTCATATTCCCAGCTCGGATTCTAAAACTCCCCATCTTCAGAACACCAGAACAGGCAATGAGCTAACATTATCACAGGGAAGTACACTGTAATCTAATTCAGGGAAAATTGAGAATGCCCATCTCAACCCCACCCTGAGCCCAGAGAACTTGCTGCCATCTTGGGAGCTGACTAGTGGGTGGGGTGTGGGTTGGGATCAGGGCTAGGCAATCTGATGTCTCTGCAGCCTGCAGAAGCAGAGGGCACAGCACAGAGGTGAGGGGGCCCCTGTGCTCGGGAAAAAAAATAGGGTGAACCTGCAACGGATGAAGCTTACAGCCCCCCCATGTCAGAGATCTGTGCATCCTGCCTCTCTCACCAGTGTGGAGTATGAGAGCACCCTCTCAGCAGAGGTTCATAATCTGGACACTTCCCCTGGCTAGAGGGCAGGGAAAACCTGTTGCTCCCTCGGGGAAGATTGCAAGTCATGGGGAATGGCTGCCCCCCACTGAGGCCACCACAGCCCAGCTTCTCTGCACCTCCCTCCACGTTCAGGACTTTAGGGTCATGCCCACCACCAGGTGTTCCATGCAGGTCACAGAGGACCCGAGTGATGGATCTCACAGACAGGTTTGCTTATAGACCTCCTGGATGAACATGCCAGGGCCACACTCAGGTCCCGTGGGCTGCCTCATCACTGGAAATTACACACCAGCCCTGCATGAATCTGAAAGACATGGCTGGCATCTGGCCCCTCCTGCACCACATTTGCCAGGGCCATATTGAGGTCTTCAGGGCCAACCAGCCCCAGCAGAGGACAAACAGGTCCAACAGACTCCACGGACCACACAGACCAAACATGCCTCTTCTCCCGGACGGCCTTCACAGGGCCCCATTCTGACCCTGAGGGTCCCCATGCCCATGAGTGTTATATGCAGCCACATAGGACTCACTTCTTGGCTGTCATGGGTAGGCTCGCCTCTGGCCTTACTGGACGAGCTTGCCAGGGCCACACTCAAGTCTAGTGACTGTCTCCACCCAGGAAATTACAGACAGGCATCCAGGCCCTGCTTGGGTCAGAAAGGCACAGCAGGCACTGGCCTCTCCAGGACCACTTTGTAAGGGAGCCAATCTGCCCCCAGAAAGGATACACAGGTCCAACGGACCCCAAGGGCCACACAGACCAGACAGCTCCTTCTCTCCCTGAGGCCTTCATGGAGCCACATTCTAGCCTCAAGGATCTCCTTGCCCCTGCGCATTTCATGCAGGTCACAAAGGACTTGTTCCTTGGGTCTCACAGAGAGGCATGCCTCTGGCCCTATGGACGAGCTTGCCTGGGCCACACTGAGGTCTGGTGGGCTGACTTGCTCCCAGAAATTACAGGCAGGTACACAGGCCTGTCCCAGCTCCGAAAGGCATGTCTGGTTTCCAACTCCAACAGAGCCACCCTTTCCAGAGACACACCTGAGAGCTGAAGCACACCCTGGCATTACAGCCTACTCTATACCTCAGGAAGAAGCGAATCCTCCACTAGATGCCTAAAAATCACTGCAGAGACACAGAAATATGAAAAAACAAGGAAATATATGTCTCTCAAAGAAACTCAGTAATTCCTCTCCAGCAATGAATAACATACAGGAAGTCACTAAAATGTCAGAATACCAGTCATAAGAAGACTGAACAAGAAGCAAGAGAAAACATTCAATTCCAGGAGCTGAGAAAATCATTTCATTACACGAGGGAGAAGTTCTATAAGGGGAGAATAAATAATAATCTGAAAAATAATCCTGAAGGAGATGGAAGATAAAATACAGGAAATTCAAATACCTCTCACATATTGACAACAGATGAGAACATACAGAAGAAAGAATTTATGAACTTGAAGACAAAACCCTGGATTTAATCCAAGTTACCAAAAAGAATGAAAAAATAGCCATTGAAAAGAAGGCGGGGGGGGGGCAGCAGGTGACATGGTGGTTAAGGCACTGTATTCCCACAAGGGCAACTGCAGTTTGAGCCTAGACCCAGTGGCTTGAAAATCACACCAAGCGCATGTGCGTACATGCCCAGGATTCTGAGCAAACAATGGGAAAGGGACTGTGGAATGATCATCCTTCTTGGGGAGGTGCTTTCTCACTTCCTCTCTTTTTCTCTGTCTCTCTCCAGCAAGTGCACACACCCAATAGCAAGTTTAACAAAAAAAAATGATGACAAATTGGGTCATCAGGAAAGTCATGACACATTTTTGCATAGAAAAACGCATCATGACTTTCCCAACAACCCAAAAGATGACATTAAGTGGCTGAATATCTGCATAATAGGTACCTCAGGAAGTAAAGAGACAGATAAAGGCATAGAAAATCTTTTTCATGAAATGCTATCTGAACCTTTCCAAATCTAGAGAGATATATGGGTGTCCAGGTCCAGGAAATACAAAGAACACCAAACAGAATAAGCATAAGAAGTTCTTCAAGACACATCTTTGCCAAAGTGGCAAAAGTCAAAGATAATATTCTAAAAATGGCATGATAGAAGCTTCAGATTATTATAAAAGATACATTATCGAACTAACCTCAGACCTGTCAAGGGAAAGCATGAAAGCAAGGATGGAATGGGAAAACATATTCAAATTTCTGCAAAAAAAAACCAAAAAAACAACAACAAAACAGTTTCAGCTAAAAATGCTGTTCTTTGCCAGATTATCCTTCAAACTGGAAGAGAAAATAAGATCATTTCCAGATAAACAAAAACTCTGAAAATTTGCCAACACTATGCAAGCTTTACAAGAAATACTTCAGGGCATACTACATCAGGAAAATGAAAAGGAGACATAGAAGTCAGAGAACATGGGGGGAGAATGGATGTAGAGAGGGGCTGGTGGTGGAGAGTGGATGTGAGGTGCAAGGGGAGGAGACATTTCACAGACAGGAAAAAGTGAAGTTCCCTGCTGGAAAATAAAGACAGTACACACACACATACACACACACACACACACACATTGAATACATCATGATGGTGGGGACTTTATGTAAAATGTGAGATTAATATAATGAATAAACAAGAAATAAGAGAACACAAAACAACTAAGAATATGATTAACGAAATAGCAGGGATAGGGGCCAGCAGATGGCGTACTGGTTACATCACTGGACTCCTACATGGCCAACTACAGTTTGAGTTCTGGACCTGGTGGCTTGAAAATCATTCCAGGTCATGTGGGAGTCCAACGTCTTAACCTCTGGGCCAAATGCTTTTTCTGCACAGATTGATATGGTTCTATGGTTTTAATCTTTATTTTTGTTAATGTGATGTATTACATTTATTGTTTTGTGTATATTGAACCCTCCTTGAATCCCTGAAATAAAGCAACATGGTGGTCATGATGTTTAATCTTTTTTTTTTTTTTTTTTTAAGAATCAGGTGTGTATGCATGTGTGCACCAGATCCTAAGAGGAGAAGGGATTATGGCATGGCCATCCACTTGGGGAGTAATTTCTCACTTTCCCTCTCACTGTCTCTGTCTCTGTGATGAGCACATGCACCCTATGGCAAAAACCTCTTTAAGACAACAACAAGAAAACCAGGGTTAAGTCCACATACATCAATAATCATGTTAAATTTTAATGGATTAAATTCTCCATTATTGGTTGAATGGACAAAAAAACCTCCATATGAAGCTTACAAGAAACATACCTCATTGATAAAGACATACATAGATCGAAAGTGAGGGACTGGAAAAAGTTATTTCATAAAACAAAAAAAATTTTTTCTTAAAACAAAAAAGCTACAGTCACAATATTGAAATAGACTTAATGCTAAAAACTGTAAAAAGAGACAAAGAAGGTCACTATGTAGTATTAAAGGAATTAATTGGCCCAGAAGATGTATAAGTTGTAGTTATACACCC